TGTGTGTGTGCTCGAGTGTTAGAGTGATGCGTGTGGGATATCCAGGGTGATCCAGTGTATGTGAACAGTGAGATGTTTGGGCGCTGAAGTTGCCATAGCCAATTGAGAGTGAACTCGTATCTGAAAGCCATATCTCTGAGTTTTGAGTGGGCGCATGTCGCCAGTATGCTGCGTTGCTGTTTACATGCATGAAAAGTGCGTTTGAGAACGAGTCTGATTGCAGCAGCGGAGCCAGTCCCACATTCATCATTCTTGGGGGAGGCTGCCTCAGCCGTCAACTCATCCGTAAGCATCTGTCTGTCGAGACTTCGGAGTTCATTCCATGTTGGATCAGTCCGAGTGCATCTGGTCTATTCACTGTCCAGATACATGTCGAATGTTGTGTAGGGGAGCCAGTCCCACATTCATCATTGTTGGGGGAGGCTGCCTCAGCCGTCAACTCATCCGTAAGCGTCTGTCTGTTGAGACTGCGGAGTTCGTGCCATTATTTTGTATATCGTCAAAAAAACAGAACTGCCTACAATCCTTTTTTTTTCTTTTTCGTTTGAAAATTAAATTAAAACAGAACCTTATGGATCTGACTCCTTTTCCATTCTGGGGCACATCAGTCCGGTTCCCATTCCCCCGGCAAGTCAAGATATACACAGAGCCTGACAGAGGACTCACCCACGCTCCTCCCCCTTATGGTGGTGGGAAGGCCCAAAGGACGGCATTTATTACTTCCTGCTGGAAGGATGTACCCCCCTTTACCCCCGCCTAAGTTAGCCTCATTCACTTACTCATCCGAGACTGGTGCTCTATTTTACTATTCTCGTTTCTCTACCTCCGTCATCTGTTGGTGAGAATTGCCTACAATATTGACTTTCTGTTAAATTTGAAATATTTTGCTCGTGCGGCGAAATCGAACAAGGGTTTTTTTGTTGTCACTTTTGACCCCTCCAGATGCCTTGATTGAAGGCAGATCACTTTTGACCCCTCTAGATGCCTTGATCGAAGGCAGAGTGAGTATGCATGAACACTAAGTTATTGGATCCCTCCAAATGTGAAAAAAACATACAAAAAGTTGAAAAAGAGGCAAAAAAATCCTTGTTCAATTTCGTAGTGTGCGAACAGAATATTTCAATTGTAACGAAAAGTCAGTTTACGGTAAACTGTAGGCAGAGAGGGAGGGAGAAGAGGACGACAAACGAGGGGCTGTGACAGACTGTTTCGTATGAGTTTCACCAATTCATCAGCATATATACCACGACCTCGATAGCACCGTGCGTCAGTGGTCGGGGCTGTCACTACGCGGCCATGCTGTGCCTCTAGTGCCAGAGGCGTGCGTGTCTGGAGTGTTTTTTTTGGCTGTGGTGACAGACCTTTCTTTGTCTCATGGGTGTTTTACTGGCTTGGGATGGGATGTGAACCTGCACTCTGTGGAGTTTTCCATCGGGTGCGAGTCAGTGATAGTCTGCTTTGATTTTCGTCACAGGTAGCTTGAGGGCAGTGGTTGGTGCCCACCTCAGGGAATCAAGTGTCTGGCAGCCGTTGATGCTTAAGCGCAACAGGGGGGTTAAGGTGGATTATCACTTGCAGGTGTAATCAGTTAGTTACTCTGCGGACTGTGGAGGGTTCAGCCTCCTGATGAGTCGGTGAAACTTCGACGAAACAGTTTGTCACAGCCCCTCATCTGTTGTCCTCTTCTCCTTCTCTGCCTGCTGTTTACCGGGCAGTTCTGTTTGAAGATATATATCTCTACTTGTCTGCCGGACACGACCAGATGCTACCCCGTTAGTAGAGGTTTATTGGTGAGTTAAAAAAAAAATATAATAATAATAATGTGAGGATTGAGCCCTCAATGGGGCCTTGCCGACATTCACATGTTCTCCCTAAGTGAAGGCGGGCCAGAATATTCACAAGAGGCCTTCCTTTCAGCATTTCACGAAGTGGGTATCAGACAGTTGCCGCACGCCAGTTAGTTGGAGTGCATCGTGAGCCCAGACTCCTGCAGAGGCAGTTAAGCCCAGGGCCTCAGTTGGTTGAGCCCTGGGCACCAGTCTGGGAGGCCGACACATCACACATTGGACGCTGGCCTATGGAAAAGCAGCATTGTGTCGTAGAGGCCGAGCAAACCAATGGGAAACCGGAACGGGGTCTGAATCTGGACGATGGCCCTGGCGTAAGGGGTGCAACTGCACTACCTGGGCCCCATCTGTGTTGGGCCTGGGCCCAGGCGCAGGCTCGAGGGAGGCCGCCCACACGCAGCAAGGCATATAGGCAGAATGTGCGAGTGGGCAGGGATCTTGGCCAATGCAGGCATTGCGGGCACGCTGCTACATTGGAGCGCGAGTGCTTGCGCTACGCTCTGGCTGAGAGAAAGCTGGCTGGCGCTAAGCGGTAGGGCGCAGCTGGGGTGCAAGGCGCTGGCAGCCATAGCCGGGCTGCAGGAGGGCGCAGAAGGAGGTGAGGGCGAAGGTGGTCTTCGGAAGGAGGAGACGATGAGTGGGAGTCAGGGAAGAGAAGAGGGGAGCGACTGAGTACTTACCTGGTGTGCGAAATGAGGTCGGCATTGGTGTTGACGTCAAGCACGCTGGTCTTCAAGTCGCCCTGGTCGCGTCATGCTGTAGTTGTAGGGATAGGCTGTAGAGTAGATAGGGCGCCCGGCGCCATTCGAAGAGAGAGCTACATTGGGTTCTGATATTGGTGTGGCCCTTCGGGCTTGGACATCGACTCTCGATTCTGCTGTATCGTTCTCAAAATGGATGGTTTCTTGGTTCCATTGTGCTATCTGCTCTTTGCTTGACTACATGGACTTCAGGGTGATTTGCAATCTGGATTTCTGTGCTTCGTTCACACTCATGTTCCTTGCAATAATAAATTTATTTAAAAAAAGAAACCCTTCTTCAATTGCAAAAAAACGAAACTTAATGAGACTGCAAGTCCTGCTCAGAGTCTACCGGGTAGTACCGAGATGATGGGCCTCACCATGCTAAACACAAAACGAAGAAAAACAAATGCATGCTCCCCCAGAAACTGAAGGCTTCCTGTTGCTATTAATAGTAATAAAGTAATGAATGTATCTTGCCACCTTCTGTGGACAGATGCACTCTTTTTTTCTTCTTCTTAGGTTCCCCTTTCCTTTCATGTTCGTTGTGGTAAGGCTCAATTTCTCCGGTTCAGTTGATTGCACATTTGCACAGCTAATCTGTTTGTTCGTTCATATCCTGCATTCCTCTAATACCCCTCACTCTGTGTGCTCTACTCCCTAATCTACCTCCCGCCCACCACCAGTCAGCAGCCTCTCTCTCTCTCTCTCTCTCTCTCTCTCTCTCTCTCTCTCTCTCTCTCTCTCTCTCTCTCTCTCTCTCTCTCTCTCTCTCTCTCTCTCTCCCTCACACACACACACACACACACACACCACCAGTCAGCGGCCTCTCTCATGCTACATGCTCTACTCCCTAATCTGCCTCCTACCTAGTACCTGATACCAGTCAGCAGCCTCTCGCGCGCTATACGCTCTACTCCTTAATCTACCTCCTACCCACAGTCAGCAGCCTATAAACAAGGGATCCTTCTTTTTTTGGGGGGCGGCAGGGGGGTGAACAAAGTTTTACTACTGAGGCTAGCCCAGTTGGTACACCCATGAACTGTTGAAATATAGACCCGAGTTCGAATCCCTATTGAGCTACCGTCTTCCCCCGAACATAACGCACCCTCATTATGACTGCATTCAGCCGGAAAGATGGGTTGCATACATTCAGGATCAGGGTGCGTTATGTTCGGGGAGGAAGACGGTAGTTGAGCAGAACAAAGTAATTCTGAATTGCCTGCAGCGTGTTCACTTCAATGAATGATGATATCTGTAGGCTGTCGCCTTTTCTTAAAGTTTCTTGTTTATTGAAAGACAAACGCAAACTTAGGCGGTCTTTTGAAGAAGCTGCTTACAGACAGGCAACCCAGCCCATGTGGCTGAATGTGTACATACATATTGCTAATGTTCATGAACAAAGTGTGACCTTATTTTATTGTCCGTTTCCACTGACACGGTGTTGTGTTGAGCAAGTGTGAGTGTGAACCTTACTGTCTGTTTCCACTGGCACTGTGTTGTGTTTCACCCATCCACTTTCTCTTGGTCCGTGAGGGCCTACTCAAACCAGGACTTCCTTGACTCAGCTCAGGATGTGATTGTGGTCAGATGCATCCAGGCCCGACCGTAATTGCAGTCAGATACATTTAGGAAAGTGTTCGTGTGAGTGTCCCCTACGATCAGGGCAGTAGGCGAGTTATCGTGTTGGGTTGGTTTTCTGTTCTGCTGAGCTGTGCTGTGTTGCCGATGGCAGGCGGGTCGGTTCCCGTTCTGTGGCCGTTGGCGACTGACTGCCTTGACGTTGTGCTCTGATGTTGCATCATGACTGGCGTCGCAATGGTTCTCCTCTCTTCGCTCGTTTGTAGCTCTTTGCGCCGACTCCCTTTGAGCATCTGGAACTGATGCAGTAGTGGGTCGGTTGTGTTCGGGTGGGGTGGATGACAGGTTGCAAAAGTATATGTGTCCGTGTTTGGAGATGAGAGGGGGCAAAGTGTTGCCATAGAAGGACTGAAGTCGAAGCAAGGTTATGTGAGGAGCGGGATTGGGAGGCGGATGCGCCTAAGAATGATCCCAGAAGTGCGGTTTATCGCGGATGATTCATTCGAACGGGGGAGCCGGGTATGGTGTTTTGCATCTTCATCAACCCATTAGCATCAATCACCCCCCCCGCCACCTTCAGCCCTTTTTTTTTTTTTTTT